AACGAAAAAAAAAATGACTGAGGGTCAGCCGGATCTTTATTAGACCTGGATCAGTAAAATCTTAAAAAGCAAATTTTAAAATTAGAACAGTAAACTGATCCTTATTACGGCAGGAAGAGTGATAGCCAAATAAAGAAAGAAAAAATATATATATATATTTGCCCGATATTTCCTGCCGTAAGGATCAGTTTGCTGTTCTAATGTTAAAATTTAGTAACCTTAAAATCAAAGGTCTATTATTTGTTGGTATGTTTGGGTTGAGGTTATCTAACAGTATCTTAATACTCTTCGATAACTTTAAAAACTATTGTACGTGACAACTGTTCTCTTGATATGGTATTTATTGTGCATGACATGTTTTAATAAGTTCATTATAAACGAAAAACGCTTCGGATTTCATAATAACGATAAGTAATGTACAAGTAAATAATTGATGACGGGGCAATTTTTATTACTATTATCATTATTATTATTATTATTATTGTTATTATTATTGTTATTATTATCAATTATTCATTATTTTAAAATAAACATTGAACTTTCTCTTGCTCAAGAACCAAATCTAAAATCGTTCTATACCTTGAAATCTTATATAATTTAAATTTCCTTGTATCTTATATTAACTATTAAATTTTCCGATTATTTTTCTCCCCTTTTACAAGTAAATTGCAAATGAAATGAACATAGGAGTAAATGGTGGTGTAATTTTTAAGAACGTTGCTATTAGACCTTCTGGTTCTACTTCACCAATGATTGTCACTACGGTCCGTAAAGTTGCGGTGGAAAGTAACTATCCTGTCGTCTCTTACCAAATGGGGTCGCTGTTTTGGGATGATCGTTATTTCGGGATCCAAAATCATCTTAAACAACATAATGAAGATATCGCCATTACAAGTGTAGTTAGAACACAATTAACCCTGATGGATTTCTTTTTTTTGCAGTATGAATGCGGGAACTCAGTGGCTATCAGAGCACAGATGACCTGTTTTCCCTCTTTGAGTCTCTGTTTTCGAAACCAGTTTACGTCATGACAGTGCGATACTTCATTTGCTTAGAATATTAAACTGAAAAATGCACCCAACACAGCATATAAGAAAAATGTACAAGCTTGGAATTCTTCTTTAGGAAAATGTGTCTCAGTGCATTTGATCGTTATATCGTTTACATACAAAGTTCGGAGATGTCCAAAAAGTTAAAGTCGGGAGAAGGGTGTTCGCTTTCTCCTTTTCGATGAATCACAGCAACCTGTCCGCGCACATACAGGAGTACAGTGTGATGCGCATGACAGCGCACACCCATTGAAGCTCATGATCGGTTGAACTTCGTGAGTGACGTGCAGGACTCGATTGGTGGAGGAGCGAGCGTCTGAGCTTAATTCTGCTTCGTTTCCTTGTGGAAGGCCAAGCGCTGAAGTGCAGCACGCCACAGTACATGATGGATAGCATCCCCCAGGGCAGGGGCTTGGACAAGTGTTC